TTTAGGATCCATGTATGTTTTCTTTGAGTTTTGGCACAATCCTTTTTTTTTTTTTTTTTTTATTTTAGATGATGATACTCTGATATAAAATGATTATTTTTGTGACAGTATGAGCAAAACTTTTCTCTCTTTGTCTTGTTACGAAATGAGTCTTTAAATGCCTTTGAATCTGATGAATTATTTTCAACTTCCTTGTTAAATTCATCAATTAATTTCCCTTTTAAGAATTCTGGATTCAGTTCCGATTCTGCTCTCACTTCAAAAGCCATAATGAGTGTATCCTAGAATATGTATAACTAGGCATTGAACAAAGCAAAAGTGGCGAAACAGGTCATCTCTTATGTTCTCACCTATTGGTTTGACTTTGTTGACTAAATCCAGTAATGCGTGTTTGCATATTTTTGCCTTCCTTAAGCTTCAAATTGTAAAGCTTTCGCAAAAGAAATAGTTTACTTGAGAGATTAGACCTTTCATGTACCTGAGTTTGACCTACCTGAGTTTTTCCCAGGTGGCTTTAGCAGTAGTTTCATGTTTAATGTGAATTATTTGACTGTCTTCGATAAATAAATTTATCATCGCGCGGCATTGCCAATTCCGTTTACTCCATTGTTGTGTAATGGGGCTTGGAGGAACATCTTCGATTACATCGTAAAGATCCTCCTTTATTAGTAGCATTTACATTTTTAATTTCCATGTTGAGTAATTGCTGGAATTTAGTTTTGCAATTTGCATTTGACTTGATTGCAACATTTTTGTATCGTTGAAAAATTTATTTTCGGTTTTGATATAAACTACAGTTCAACCTTTACAGTTTTTTTCTTCTTTTTTTCTTTTCTTTTTGGTATTATTATTATTTAATTAAGGCATGATCATTCCTTCAGTCTCATAATCTTTTGTGGTAAAACAATTTTGTAGCCTCAAAATTTCACAACAAATTAATAGAAGTAGAGAGTAAATGATTCCTCTTACCTTGCATCAGCGAGATCATAGCCAATTAACTTAATCCAAAACAGGTTGTAGACGAAAATTGAAGGATCACTAAACACATTTTATTAATAATACATGAAAATAGATTAAGATTTGTCAGTATTCCAAACCCGTATCTGTTAGCTTTAATCTCCGTTATTAATCTCAGGACAGCTAAAGGTAAGTTGGGCTTTCACTTTTCATTCAATCGGGAAAACTCTTGCATTTTATAAATGCTTTATTATTACAGTAAATATATACATATCATTAAGGAACATTCTTAACCTTAATCACATTCTCTTGCTTCCCGATTCTCGATTGCCATCGTGTGCCCCCTATCGGCGGCTTTTCTACAATGCCATCTATTGGCTGATAACATATCGAAAGGGAGTTATATAATAGAGAGTCTCATATCACTGTCCTTTTCTGAAGGGCTGAGTAAAAAGAAGCAAGTTGGCCAATTAACTCCTTTTGAAGGGTATCCTGATTATACTGTTTATTGTGCTATTGGTGACAGTCCATCACTATATACATACCAACAATATATTGCTCAGATTACTGCTGATATTATTTATCTCTATATTTTTCTCACTCAGATTGCTATTGTTCTCACATCCAACGGTCTCCTTGTCTTCTTTTTTTCATCAGATAATTCTTGAAGAATGTGAGCAAAATCAGCTGGTTGTACATATTTTTTTTGCCATGAAAACTGATATAAAAGTTATAGAGTCGAAATTATACAAATTAAAATAATGCACGTCAATTAATAACACAAAATTACAAAATATTTGAGAGAAAAAATATTTTCTGAATTTTCACCCATGACCATGTGTGTGTCGTAACTTTTAAGAAGCAGCTGCCATGTATCACAAAAGCTCAATAAAACAACCAAAAAGTCATACGACTTCCTTTTGGCACATTCCATGATGTGGGGAAGGGTTGAAAGGAGGAATAGAAATGAGCTTCAATCATCTCAGCTGCGATATGCGAAAAATGTGTATTAAATACCGGATTTCTCATAAACTTTGTGCATGGCACGTGTGCTGGAAGGTTAATATAATTTAAAAGAAAATTAAATACTAATATTTAGTTGTAATGCTGTAAAAATAGCTGTAACAATAGTTGTGTGTTTATATTTTTCAGTATTTTAGAGATCCTTATAACACATTAAAGTTGATTAAACTTAAGAAAAATAAATAAGAAAAATTATGCTGAGAGCAGTCATGAAAAATATTTGCACAATTTTGTTTTATTTTTCAATAACAATATCGATGCTCAAGTTTATTATTATTTTTTAAATATTTTTTGTATAGCATATTTTTTTCACTTTGATATTCATCTTCTTTAACTACATTTCAAACAGATTATCTGAATTCAGATAGATTAAAAGCTGGAAGATGAGACAAAAAATTTGGGATCATAGCAGTTCTAATTTGGGCAGTTAAACACCAATCTTTCAAAAGCTTAACATGATTTGAAAAACGTACACATTCTTCTATTTTAAAACAAAAATTATTATTTTATAACATATATAAGCAAATGCACATTGAACACATATAAAAAAAAATGCCAGTGTATTGTTTGTCTATGAAAATGGTCAGCTAAAAAATGACGATCACTGCTAATAACAATTATCGGCTTACATAAAAGAAGTACCCTAATCACAGGTTTTCAAGCATGTTAAATGAAAATGTTGAGAGAAACAATAAAAGTCAAGTTTTGGTCTTTGTAGTTTTTTCATTATTATTTTCTTGATTTGGATAAAATTTCGTTTTTGCACATGATTAAGTATATACCTTTGTTATTTTTTAATTTCAACTTATTAGTACTTTCAAACTTTTATTTTCGGTGTTTGGGAATAACTCCAAATAATAGAATGCATTTTTCTACTATATGGAAGCATTAATTTTTATTAATTTTTTTCACAAAAATATGCTTAATCAATTTTGTAAATTTAACATTATTATTTCATATCAACTACTTAACTTCATATTTTGATTCATTTTTCATCCCCAGATTTTTTAAATAACTAGGGTATAAATTTGTTCCCTTTAATAGTTTATTACAACTAGCATATTAATAAAATTTATTTAGAAATTAATTTTAAAGATGAATGCTGAAAAATGATGGCAGGAAAAATTTGTCAACTTAATTTCTAAAGCATTTTAGAGAACCTTTTAAAAATATACAAGATTTAATGCATAAAGGAGGGGGGAAAAAATTAAAAAGAAAGAACGTTTTATTATCAATTTTCTTATGCAATTTCAAAAATTCTCTTTATCCATTTAATAGCCACTGAATGAAGTAGACCTATTTCAATTTTGTGTTCTTCTTTTCGGTTACATCTTTCTTTAAGCAGGTTGAACTCCATAAAATGAATCAGTCATCACTGTAACACCAATCCAGTACCATATTCTGCCTGTGCTCTTCATGATAAACCATTTGCTATATCCTCAATAACTTTTAATTGTGTTTCTAAATTAATGTTATTTCTATTTTGCATACGTCTTATACCATAGGTAAACAATTAAAATTTTGAAATTTAAATATAAAACCACAGGAAGGCACATGAGTTGTCAACTACCAAATTAATGCAACTACTTGCAATAACCCCCAAAATAAGACTTGTACAGCTGCCTGTCTCTTGAACATAGATTTCTCATACATAACCAGCTTCCCAAATAGGAAATGGGGAAAACAAAGTTAAAAGAATGCAGTGAATGATTTAAACTGTACTGGTTCATAAACCAGTCAATAAAATAATTTTTCCACAGTTTCAATTATTTCCAGTGAATTAAGGCTCTATTCTATTCAAAGATATGAAACTGATTAGGCATTTAAATGCATTCTTAACACATTGACTGTCATTTTTATTTAATGTTGCAGAGAAAGGAGTTTTGTCACTTGTTTAACTTTGATAGAATGTAAAAGTTATAAAACATAATCTCTAAAACTGAAAAATTATTTAAAATGAGAGCTGTTTAAACATTTTATAGAATGAATATCACTATTTGCAGAGTATTTGTGCGGTGTAATAGTTATCCCTTTTTACTTTGTCAATACTGCAAAATTTAAAGACAATTTTTTATTGAAGATATGAGACAAATTTCATGTAACGTGACAAAAATGTAAAGAAACAATCCATTTATACTCAAAAAATAATACTTTTTACTTTTTGTTCAGTAGTGCTAATTACTGAGCAAACGTAATTTTTTTTAACGGGCCATACAAAAATATGCTACTTATTAACTCATTTCTAAGTATTATCTTTTACAGAGTAAATCCTATCATACTTCTTAAAGGATGATGATTACTAAGTAGTTCTTCCTTTTCTACAAAAGAGATACCTTCTCTAAAAAATCTAGTTCTTTTGTATTTGCTTTATATTTCTGGTCATTTATTAGACAGAAATAAAACAAGTTGTTGACAACTGCTTTTATTTAAATTATTCAAAGAAATTGAATTTTAACTTGACTTGCAAATAGTGCAAATCTGAGGAATAGTGCAGTGTGGCAAGGAAAAAAAAAGTTATAAAAATATCTTCTCATAGTCACAATTATTATAATACAGCAAACATTTACCCCTCAAATCAATAATTAATTTATTACTATCAAACCAAAATGCAAAATGGTATTTAACCAAATAAAAACAAGCACTTTTGTCTCTTCAGATACTACTTTTAGCAGATACTTTAAAACAAATTTTAAATATACGTTGTCTGAAAATTTTACTCACACAGGAGAATTCAAAAATAAAACAAATCTTTAACATTTAACAGATACAGTTTTATATATTATTTAGTTTTTATAATATGAACATGGATTTTGAAACATGATAATTAAACTATACTTCAAAAAAATTTATTACAAGAAAATAGGTTTTTTAACATCTCTATGCTCTCCAAAAATTACATATTCTACTTATCAATGCATGTATTCCAATGCATTACTGAATTAAAAAATATTTTTAATGCTTAAAGAGTCTATGTTTTAAAGAATAGCATACGAAAATCAAACCTACAAAAGATTTTATACCTTCAATGCCTTCTTTCTCTTTTTTTTGTTCAGCTAAATACTGTAGATGATGCTGGTTAAAAAGAAGCGCATAAATCATTTGGCGTAATGGCCGATATAAAAGACCTGGAGATGGGAGCTCTCTGCCAGATTCATCATCAAACATAACAGGAATTTTTATTTCGCCCTAAAAAGTAAATTACAAATCCATAACTAGTTATCTAAACAATTTCACAAATATGTCAATAAGCAATACAAATACACAGGACACACAGATGCCTCCCATGTCTATTAAATTTGAAAGTGATAGGAACTACAGCTGGAATAGTGCTTTAAGTTTAAGGGTCCACCAAGTGAGAAGGAAAAAGAAAACTATCACTTTTTTTACAAAGATTTTATTAAAAAAATTGAAAAATTAAACTTTATTAACAGTATTTACATTTTCAGTTCTCAAGCTGAGAAATTATTTATCTAATTATAAATATATGGTGATGTTAGTTTTATGGCATACAAGCTGCCCAGTCATGATGCACCATGCATACGGTAAGAGTAGATGGAGCAATAAAAGGTATAAGCCATAATAATGTAAAAAACATGCAATCAAAAAATTCTAAAAAATTTTAAATCTAAAAAAAAAAATAAAAACAAAAAGGAAAGCTCAAAATAATTTAGTATAGTAGTTAAAGAACAATTTATAGTAGTTTAAAAGTTCTCCACAGTGAAAAACTCTGGGTTAAAGATATAATCAACATTTTAAGCTTTACAGTTTATAATAAAAGCTTGTATCTTAAGAAGTCTGGTTCCAATTAACTGAAAGAGGCAAGACTGTAAGCACCAAAATATTTCAAATTTGAAATGTGTTCCATTAATTAAAATATGAATCACATATAACGTAGCATTACAGTTTATAGAGATTGGGGCATTTTACACTTTTAAGAGATGCTGATGGATAATCTGGAACTCACCAATCAGTAGCCATATCAGAACTTCTTTTTGATTTTTGTTTGTAACCCATTACTTGAATTCAGGCTTCACACACCATAGCTTTTTTATTTATTTCGAATTCTATTGCTGCTGTCATTTCAGAAAAATCTGCTAGTTCACTGAGTTTATGATTTTTATGGGTACACAGACTACATCAGCAAATTTGGCAGCAATATCTGCAAGATCATGCCTCTTATACCAATGTGGACAGTAATCAAACACTTTTAAACATAATATCTTTTAATCTAAAGATACATGTGGAATTTAATGGCCTTGGTCAACAGAGGACTGCCTGAATGGCCTCCACATTCTAACGATTAGAGAGCACTCGGCAAATCAGAATAAAGGATGGCTTTCCCTCTTTCATTGTTTTAAAATAGATAAAAACACTTGATGAATAGCAATAATTTCAGCAGAAGAAATACAACAAGATTTGTGCAATAGATTACCAATCCAACATCAACATGAACATTAACATTTGATTCATTTGTAAATAAAGCAGTATAATAGTTGCACGTATTTCTATCCCAATATAATTTTACTACTGTCACTCTTATTAGAAGTTATGAAAATATTCGGAAGTTCCATTTTTGCATTTTTCCATTGAGGAAAAATGAAATTATTCAGTCAATACTTCAACATGAGAGAAATTGGCAAACTAAAAGGTGGAATATAAGATAGGCATGCTTGTTACAGATAAATATAAAAATCATCCTGTACAGGGATGTGAGCAGGATGGCATGGGTGAGACATTATCTTAATGTGATGTAGGAAAGTTAGCTTTTTATCCTATATAAGGCCAAGAAATTTGACTTTTGATAACAGTGGGATCAATCGTATCTCCAGACAGAACTCTAAATTAGGATTTAAGTTTCTCTTACAACTAAAATGGGTACGAATGGTCAGAATAGAAAACTTAAATCCCTCTCTAACTGCCCAATTAACAATCCCATTCAAGGTGCTTTACAAGTCTTTTTATGCCATGCATGTCAGCACCTTGGCAGCTTATCTGAAGACTATCAATGCTCCACTCACTGTTGGAAGGAATTCATTTAAACTGGACTTAATTTTGGGACTAATATACATAACAATCAGCACACATCCTTGTGGTACACACTCTTCTTAAACGAAATTATCACACATCAAACAGCCTAACTTTGAAAGTTCTGCATAAAAACTGACAGATTTCCACACGGGTGGCTATTGTAATAAGTCCTGGATTATGCCATACTCTCCAGGTCTAATTGTAGACTTTTTATATATATATATAAAAAAAAAAATTAAACTACATAGTTCCTTTCTACAAAGGCTTCTCTAAAAGCAATATGCTATCCACAGTTGATCAACTTTTTCAGAAACCACTTCACAGATCATTTTGCTCTAGACAAATACAGAAGGTGGCAGTTACACATTTTTCCAAGAAATTTGCAAATGGGCAGTAACTGGTGGGGTTCTTTGGGTTGGAAACTTTGCTATACTTGTACAATTCTCGCTAGCATCACTGTAGATGTATGACCTAATATTCAATAACAGCATAATTTACTACAATTAGCTTTAAGAAGCATTATTCAATACTGATATAGAAAACATATCAAAACCTGTATCTTGAAAATCAAGTTAACACATGGATTTGTTACATTGCTCAGATAAATTGTATGCTTCTATAAGCAGAAAATAAAAAATTTATATATATAACTGATTTCCAATGCAAAATATTTCATTGCTGTTCTTACTGGTTGGGGCTCATATGCATGGGGCACACAACCTAAATTCAAAAGGAACAACAGTGAAACCTAAATTCAAAAATTTAATTCGCTCCTTGAGGCTGCATGTCAACCAAAACATTCATACAGTAAACACTTTTTCCCACAGGAATAAATGTAAAATGGATTAATTCATTCTTGGACCATATACGATTGCTTGGTTAAAATTTGACAATAGTACTTTGCGCAAAAATTTATATCCATATTCACTAATGGCAATCATTAACATGAAAGACAGAAATATACATTATTAGTAGATAAAATAAATGAAAATGTAGTTTAATTTTACAGTACTTATACGAAAAGGAGTAGAAGGCGCGAGTAGAAAATGATGAGAAAGATATCTGGGATGTGAAATTCCCTTCCATAATAACAGCACATAATTTATTTTTTCTTTGTCTCTAAGTGCCATATGATTCTAATTGAGACTCATAGAGGCCCTTCTTTTCACTCAAAATTTGTGAAATGCGATTTGTTGTTGTCTACATATTAAAATGTTTCTAAAGTAAAACACAGTATTATCATTGAAAATATTTATGCTGCAACTTGCTACTCCTTTATCAGGATTAAATCTTTACATGAAAACTCCATACGCTCCCACAGCTTGCATAAATTTCATGGACCAAAGAACTGGAGTCATTTTTCTTTCTTCTTCTGAACATATTCTACCACAGTTCTTTTTTCTTGCCTCTTCTGAAGCTGTTGCAGTTCTTTCTGTTTAAGCCCATTTTTATGATCCTCTGGTAGCTTCTGCATGACTAACCATTAATTTCCTGGCCCATAGTTTTACCTAGAGATACAATATGAAAAATAAGAGGGGAAAAAAGTCAAAAGTGTCAAAGTTTCCAAAGTATCTACTTGCCACCCAATCTGGACATACTTTCTTCCAAGGCGAATTCATGGTACTGTAAGTCACTTGCTGCTAGGCTTTGTTAATGAAAGTTAAGCAATGGAAATATTAAAATGACATTTTCAGAAGTCCTTCAACATTATATGGCATAAAATCATGCGTTCCCAACCTTAGTATTCATAACTTGAGACGCAATTTGTTATCTCAGGTGTGTTTTGCTCAGATAATTTATTTGTAAGCCAAACTGCATTTCAATATACTTATTTTCATTCTCCTGTTAAGTGATATTTTCATTCATTCATACACATAATTGTAGCTATTGCACATTCCTTCATTTGGGTGGCATACCCTTGGCTAGCCATTACTGTTCTTGGTTGTTTCCACAATTTTGACAATGAACATCTGAGACCTTACTTCTAGCACCACTTGTTGCAAGTCAGATGATTTTTATTGTTATCCCAAATATGAAAATAAATGGAAAGGAAGACTCAATAAATTACTGCATTTCCAAGAGATAACTATTACAAGAAAAAAAAAATAGCTCCAATAATATCAATATATAACACCAAAATCATCTTCAACAAAGAACAAATCTTGCAAACTCAAACTCGAGAAAGAAATACAGATCGTTGGCTGGCAAAAATTCACAGGTCAAAAATAACTTCAAACTTCCTTCCTAACAGGGCTCCAAAATAGTCTCACCAAGTACTTAACTCTGATGTCAATATTAACAGGGCTTTCAAGTTCTGCAAGACAATCTCTTATATTTTCTCCTTCAGGCTTCAAGAACTGAAATATTGTGATAAAATTCTACATGCTTCCAAACTTCTAAAACCATTCCAGCAGCATGGCAGTATTGCAGTTCCATTGCAAACATATCACACTGTAATGAACTCAATGTCACAGTGACATTATAGGTATGGCTTGATGTCCACATTGTGACATTTATATTACATCATTCTGCCATATTTTTGTAACATCATATCATGGCATTATGTGATGCAGACATAAAGTCACACTGTGACGCTGTTGTGAAGACACACCATGACATGAATGTAGCATAATAAAGTGGCATGAATATAATGTCACAAAAGATGTAAATGTATGTCACATTACTCTTATCTTAGAAAGTTCCTTCAGTAAAACTTAAATCTTAAATATTTTATTAATCCAATAAGAAGTTATACCCTTTCAAGGTCCAAAAATATTTCTGTAATAGTCAAATACCGAAAATCCGCCGACCTGAAAATCCGCATTGCCTCTCAAAATATCAACATTCAGTTTATAGGTTCCGGAAACTGCAATATTGAGTACGAAATATTGAAGAAAAAATACTTACTGAATAAATAATGAGTCATAACGGAAACACCAAATTATTGACATCATGATAAAAGTTTTTCCCCCTCTAATCTGCATCAAAGTAAAAAAGCAGACAATTCACTGAACTCTTCTTTTAAGTTCACGATTCACGTTGTTGTATTTTCTGAGCTTTGTTATTTTACAAGATTATTTAGTGCTGCCCTTTTTTTTATCCAGATATTTTGTGGATAAATTAAGAATATTTTAATTTATGCCCTTTTTAATACAATT